TGCATTCTCCTGTTCACTTGAAGAAAAATTAACAAATCACTCAATTGCTGTGGTTAATTTATGAAACTTTATTATTGCGTTGTAAAGGCGTACCTTTGCATATATGTCGGCTGTCAGGTAAAGAAATGAATGCTGTTTGTCTAATTAAAACCGCTGTTTCGGCTGAATTTATTAAAGAATGTAGAAAACTTTATGATTTTATTTATTAAAATAAATTAAAATATATTAGGTGCACGTAACCAGAGTTAGTAAACTATTTGCGAAACTATTCCAAAGTCATAGGTGGCGCTGATCGCAGGCGATAAAATTTGTATTCGAACTGGATACTAGAAATCAATTCGACAGTAAAAAATTAATAAATTGCCAAGTTTTTGTAATTAATTCATGAAAATTTATAGCTGCACAAAGGCAGATCCTTCAGAAACTTTCCAATATACGTTTCGATATAGATTTGTGCCTAATTAATTTATTATTAATTATTATTCTTCCCAGTGTTTGAATTGTTGTCGAAAACGCCATTGGTTTTTCATTAATTACTGTCCTCTACGCAATTAATTTATGAAACTTTATGCATTCGTTAGAAAGACAATGTTCTTGCGAATCTTCTCATATAACTTTTGATCACATTTTGCTTCTAGTTTCGTTTAGTAATATATACTTTCACGGAAGGTCGTGATGGTCGCCGTTATGAAATCATAGACGCCATGAAGCAAAAATTAATAACTAACAATTTAGAGCTAAATTCTTTACGAAAGTTATTTAAGAATGTAGCCTGAAGTTCCAGCTTTGCAGTGAAATTATAAAAGTTCACAAATTGTTTACGGAAATTGAGTAATTAATAATTCTTCACTGCCGGAGCCATTCTATCCTTTTCTATCCCCTCTCTGTCCATGTCTACCACGTGACCAGGTGTTCGTCGACCTCCTTGCCTATCCTATATTCCTATCACTTTCTGGATTTTTGAGCCCAAATCATAGATGGCGCTGATCGCAGGCGGTAAAATTTTTATTCGAACTCAATACCTTTTCTAGTTATGCGCTAATAATATACTGTAATAAATGAATTCGGCAGTAGAAAATTAATAAATGTCCAAGTTTTTGTAATTAATTCATGAATATTTATAGCTGCACAGCAAATTTGGAATTATACGCAACATTCTTATACAATGTTTAATTTAATAATTAATACTTACATGAGCGATAGGTTTTGTATTTCCTGTAGCAAATAAGATTACTATGGAAAAGTGTTTTTCTTGCATAATATTCTTATTATTTTGTAATAAATATATACTAACATAAGAAAGCGTAAAAAATAAATTTTTTTATTAAGAAATTTTATTTACAATGTTTTCATAGGTGAAAAAGGAATACAAAATAAGAAATATATTGGAAAAGCTATATCGGCGAGAATTGAACCCCGATCCTCCATGATTGACAATTCTGGATCGTCGTCGGTACTCTACAAATTTATTTGGAAGAGAGTGGAAATAAACGTGTAATTGCGGTAGTAATAAAACTTTACTCGCAAATATCTCAAAAATTATTGAGTAGTTGCGGCTATAATAATATATTTTCTGAAACTGCAGGACTATATCTATAAACCTGCAACGTTTCAACTAAATCGATAATAATATTTAATTTAATAATTAATACTTACATGAGTAATAATGACATTAAGGCTTTCTTTTTTATTTATGTAGGCTTATGTTAAAGATGTTAGAAAATAAATTTCACATATAAACACTGAAGGAGGATATATCGTTGTGGAAAAAGTAACTCTGATCTTTATGTTTATTAATAGGTTGAAGAAAAAAGTATAAATTATCTTTTCTATATGGGCAATTTATTTTTCTTGCGTATTACAATTAGGATATTATATAAAATATTTGTAAATAGGTGGTTGTCGAAACTATTAGTCTCCATATTCGACAACAAATGGCTATAGTGTTTTTGTGTCCATCGGCAGGTAAGGTGTAAAAACAAAGAGATAATATTTGAGTCAAAAATGAAGTGTTAATAAATTTTTCTTCGTTTGAAAATGAATTTTGATCTAAGCACATTATTTTTGTTGAAAAAATAATATATTTATTGTTATCAAATAATATTATGTACATTTTACACAAAGGAAAAATCATATTTACAAACACCATGATTCAACGCAACACATGGTGGAAATATTTTAACATACAGATATCTATAAATATAAATATATGTATATATACATAAATAATTACATAAATTGATGTACACAAATATTCTTAATTAATTTTCATACACAATATTCATTGATAGCCGCGTATATATTATTACTAGTAATCGCATGGTATTCTTATTTTTCGTCATTCGATCACAATGCTCAACAAAATCGTGTTTATCGTTGCACCATACGTTACGTATCGTATTAACAATCGATGATTAAATTACAATTATTCCCAAATATTAGATTCTTATAGGCTTACTAAGAGTCACAATTACTCGTTTCGTTGTTTATAAGAACACATTTAAAAGGGGCACAGGAATGTATGCAATACTGGTGAATTTTTTGTGTAATACAAAATACGACTTACGCAATAAATACATCACACTTACAGCATCGATAAGATATCACAATACGAATAGAGTCAGAGAAATGTTTATTTCTAGCAATGACTGGCAATCGATTTCTTATAGAAAAGAGTCCACCGTGTTCGTGATTCATTGCTCTTCGTTAGAAATAAACGTGCTCCAACGAGATTGTATGAGTAACATCGCGATTTCCGTCAGAGTCATTCGAAGGATCCTTTCTATTTTTCTCTGTATCGTCGGCGGTTAGGTCCAAACAGAAATTATCGTAGGCATACGCATTCGTAGTCATATTATGTTTTTCCTCCGTGATGGAAGCAAATTTCTGAAGCGTAATATTTTTGGGTTGGTTACAGATGCTCGACGCGGTGCCGTTAGAGGATTTCGATTTCGACTTTTTGGAGAATCCGTTTTCTATTTCATCCAGGCTTCGATCTCTGGTTTCAGGCAGAATCGTCAAGGCAAACAGAGCCCCTAGGCTAGCAGCTGCAGTGAATATCCACATCGTTATTTCGACGCCAACGAACGTATGCACCGTCGGATACAATTTGATGGTTGCAAACGTCAAGATCTGTACCATACTAGTGGTAATGCCTCCCAAAGGTCCTCTGAACCTTAGCGGGTACAGTTCAGAAGTCATTACCCACGGTAAAGTGAGAAATCCTATCATAGACCAGCCCACGTGGCCTCCGATGCATGCCAAGGATACCACAGATGGCAAATTGAACCTGAGAGCAAAGAGAATTGGATCAATTAGTTTCTTACATTTATGTCAATGACAGAAAGAAGGTAACCAAGTACAGAAACGAACAGAAGCGATTCTGAATAGGCAAACTTTCGCATTTTCAAACTTGGCCACCACCATTTCAATATCACGGTTCTAATTAAACGAACAATACCGGACCTGTAAGATAGAGCAACGCCTACAGCAGAGATGGCCATTCCTAGACCGCTGATGAAGGCCAGTATTTTTCTGCCGCAGCTGTTCGCAAAACCAGCACCAGCTACTGACGCGAACAACCTAATCACACCGATTCCAACGCTTGCTGAGTATTCGTTTAACTCGATACCGATATCTTTAAGAATGTTCACCGTGTAGAAGAGGATTATATAAATCCCTGACATTTGCTGCAGTGTGAAGAAAGTGAGCAGGACGAGGAAAGGCTTCCACACGTTTGGCGTATGAAGAGCTTTGAACAGACTCTCTTTCCTTTCCTCTCGCTTCACATTCGCCTCGCAAAGTTCCTCGAACTCTTTGTCGGTGCTTAAACCAGATCCTCGCAACCACAGCAGAGACTCTTTTGCCTCTTCTTCGCGACCTCGAGCGACTAACCAAGCTGGTGTTTCCGGAATCATTCTGAACAGAGGGAAAATTAACCCAGAAACATTAAATACAAATCGAACATGGAAATCAAATTAATCCGGAGCATAAAGTATTAGCTTGGAGTAATTATTACCGCGACAGTGCCAGTGACAGTATAGCAGGTCCGATACTAATCGCAGCAGCCCTTTGCCACGTAGTGAAAGCACCCAACGAATAAATCATCAGAACGCCAACCGAGACTAGAACTGGTCCACAACTTCCCAACCAAGCTCTTTGGTGCGGTGCAGCAGTCTGCGACAATGAAAACATAATTTATCCTATTAATTAACGTACATTTCGACTAAAGTATCGAATTAAATTTAAAAAGGATAAAGCACCTCGCTAACGTACAGGTACAGGCCATTCGCCATACCAATACCGATTCCACTGATGAATCTGCCTACGTACAACATAGTCACGTCCTTCGACAACGCTATGAACAACCATCCCCCGGCATAGGGTAAACAAGCCAACGCGATAGCCGATCTTCTTCCAAACCATTCCGCGCATAGTCCAGACATCACCGATCCGAGAGGGTTCGATGCAACACCTAAAGCAGCGATCCAAGAAGTTTGATCTTCGCTCGCATTGTGAGACTCCAATAGCTTCGGTACCAAGATGGCGCTGAATCCCTGAACGAGTCCCACGGATATTTGTCCAGAATGTGCTGCCAGTCCAGCGAATACCTGAAAACCCGGAACCACTTGAAAAATTCATTCCAGGAAATTACATGGAGGTGAATATCGAGTAAAATCACGTTCGATGTGCCATTATAACCGATGATCTCGTATCAGCTGGTGCTTCCACGTTCGGACCAATTAGGCTTACGCCTGCCACGCGTGATACGTGATTGGAAATGAAAGGCAGGTTCCGTGAACGTGTATCGAAATAATTACACCACCGAATTCACGTAATCGATGCACGAAATCTCATATACGCGACATCTGTTTTTCTTTTTTCGTTTGGAACAGGCTGGAATTCCTAATCCATCGAAGAGCTAGCCGAAGAGCGATGAAAGCAGTTCGATCGAATCTCTGCCTCGTCGAATAATTCCTCGCGTTGATTCGAACCGTTTATTCTTTCGAGTGGCTAAGAAGCAACGAGCAAAGGAACTAGTTTCTCTGGAGGTCAATACGAAGGTTCGCGGTCGCTCGGAGCGAACGTCGATCTAAAAAAGCCAGGACACCATGGAAAGCTGTCTGGCTGCCGTACGGACGGCTTCATGGAATCTCGAAAATCCCACTGAACGGAAGGACGAGGAGGTAACGCGGCTTATTTACACGCGGACCGTCATTCTCCCTTCGCTGGCCTCGTTTAAAGAAGCCTGGAGAGATGTTCTCGACAGATACGTCGAATCGCAATAATTACCGGACAGATTACGATCATTCAAATGTATTGTTGTTACGCGTACACTTTTCCAACTTGTGCCGGTGGCGTTTTTTTTTTTTGTCCTGCGCACATTAAATTTACACACTATTAGTATTATCAGCCTTGAAAGTATGCGCCCGAATACGTTCCCTATCATAATGCCGCGGTATTAATTAACCCGATCAAGTGTTCCAACGTTCAACGTCGCTGTCGAGCAAACACTAAAGCAGAGTGAAATCTGAAAGCTGAAGTCTGGAATCTAGTAGTAGATATTAACGAACCAGATAACGATAAGTCACGGAACAAATACAATTTAGAAGGAGAAGCACTTCCGGCGAAACGGTGTGAATCGCTGACGACACAGATAATTATCATCGCTGGTGGTCGTTCTGTTCCGTGAAAACGAACCCTTTTTCAAAATACGTCTAAGCTCGAAAATGATCAAATTGCCTTACACCTTTCTGCTGGCCGGAGTGTAGCAGCTTCCACCAGAGTTTCGCTCGAGTGATCATCGTGTCCGATGTAATTTATCCGATATCTGTAACAGAAATAGAGAAAGAGAGGGAAGGTTAGAAACGAATGTGCGAATATGGAAGATGAAAATTTTTCGCTAGAAGAGATTATTATCTCTTATATTACGTATCATGAAATATTTAATATCAGGCATCTCGTTCGAGAACGAACGTATAGAATTGAAGATCTCTTATCGCAACTTTTACGAGCATTTTTCGCAAGGGCTACCAGAGGAATTGAATAATGAGTGCCGTTTAAACGATCACTTGTCCCTACGCAGACCGGAACACGGGAGGAACCGCACAATGGTCGGGTCTCGTGAGTCACGAGACGCGCGTGATTTTCTATCGCGTCGGAGGCAACGCTTCTCGTGACAGATTCACACGTGAGTCGCAATTTGTCTATTAACGAATATGCCCGGCCATTAGATTTCGACATTATCTCGTTTCGCGTTTAAACTTCTTAGGTTGATTCACCGCTGACAAAACGGTGCCATTTAACGAAGGATCTTTTCGAAACGATCGATCCAGAACTTTTTACGCGAATTACGTAAATTTACCGTGGACCGTTTTCTATTATTGCCTTTGCGAAATGGATGTACAAATACGCCTGTTCCTCTAGGCGTTACCCCCGGACCCCGTTCTCTCGTTAGGCTGTTAAATAGTAGCTTTAATGTTGGACAAATATTTGAATAAATATACCGGTAAAAGCGATAGTTTCACGTTTGCGTGATTATTCGATGTTTATTCCGTTGTTTTTAGTAATTTCCTTTCTTGCGAGAGTTCACGTAAGACTAGAAACGTAAGCATCGTGATCCAACGATGGCACGCTTGCATAAAGTACGAGTTGCGCGTTATGACCGGTATCGTGCAGAGTTGCAATTACAAAAATCGCTGATGTTCAACAGGAAAACCTAGGATAATACCAATTCGTCGTGCAAGATCCGCAATAGTCCTCGAAATAATCGCGAGGACGACTGGTTGTTTTGCGCGAAACTCGCGGGAAGTAACGGCGGGACTACTCGAGTCGAATGTAATGGAAAATTTTTGAATCGGACGAATTCCGTCGTTTCTTATTTTCAATGAGTCGCGTTTTTGCAACAAACAGCACGTTGTTACTATTCCAGGCTTGTTTCGTGTTTTTGCAACTGTGCGTTTCCTAGTGGAATATTTCCTTTCGAATCAGATGCTCGAATCATTGTCTAAATAAATGATATCATTTCGATACAACTGAACAAACATTTGGAGCACCTTGTCCTTATTTTTCTCGAAATCTCGATATTTGGATATCGATTTGAATATCGACTTAGACATCGACTTGGATATTCACGATCCATCGAGTCCTTAATATTTAATACGGAATGTCACAGCTCCGATTTTTAAATATCAAAATATCATTAAGACGTTGCCCCGCGGAAAAAAAAGATAAGAAAATTGTCTATCGTTTTCTCTGATTCGTTGCATCATTAACGTAACCGCGAGAGTAATAAGCGCTCCTCGAGGAGCCTGTGATGCAGCAGTTTAGAGTAACAGGTAACGTTCGCCTCAGTAGTGCAGGAGTAACAGGGTTGCGATCGAACCGTTCAAATGCCATTCGAACGATCCCGTTTCCCATAAATCGAAACGAGTGTCTATGATCACGCAGAGTCTGTTCTAATTCGAAACATACCCCTCCAAGATTCATTCGCGAAATGAGCCTTATTCTTGCCTGATATGTAGCTTCGTATCGAGAAGCAAACCGAGATACCACGATCTTGGAGGCTATCGAGATGTCGAAAGATCGTGATGAAAGCTACAGAAGCGATGTCGCAAAAGAGTACCAACCTTTGGTAGTTTTATCTATTCAGAATCTCGTAAGTATCTCAGACGATTTCCTTCCTTTCTAGTTCTTTAAATCATATCACGTCCCCATGGCTCATCGAGTCCTTTGTTTCTGACAAACGAGTACAAAGTATTGGAAGAACAGAGCGTTACACGACTAGAATTCTACCGACGAGTTCATATCACCGATCGGATTATCGTAAATCACTTTTAGTGTCCGCGGTACTGTCACCGCGCAAGGATGTTCCGCTTCTGGATTTCGTCACGGGACGATCTATAGATCCGTGGTCACGATCACTGCGGGACGACGGAATGTAGATGCAACTGCGGCACGTCGGAAGGCGAGAGTGAACACGGAGTTACGATCAAAGTTATTTCAGATTACTATCGTGTCCTGGTCGGTGACGACCAACGTTATGCTCTTCCGCGTTAAAAATCGCGACAACCTGCAAAGAGGTGGTGCACACGTGCTCCCGTGTTAACGACGGTCCTTCGTACATGAGCACACACAGACACATACACACACAGTAGGTCCGCCGTGAGTTTTTTCGCACTCGGCACTGAGATGATTTTCGCCGGCGCGTTCGCATTTATAGTCGCGAGAAGGCGCCTCTCTCAAAACGACGCTTCGCGAAGCGCCCTTCCAGGGCCGTCTCGAGGTCTGCCGGTCTCTCCGACTCGCCACCAGCAGAAGTTTCCTCGACCCCTAGCTACCTATCCCTCCATCCACACGCCTCTTTTTCTCTTTATTTTCTCATTATTTTCTTTTCTCTTTTCTCTTTTCTTACCTTCTTTTTTTCTTTTTTTCTCCTTTTAAATTCGCCCGCATATCCGCTTCATTTCGCGACTCGAGTTATCCTTCCGCGAGGAGAAACGAGTCGAACCGACCTAAATAGTAGTTGGTCCTTGATTTCTTCGCGGGAAGGATCGATACGCCTCGAGAGAAGAAAAGCAAGGAGGACGATCCAGAAAAATCGAGTCTGATCTTTCGGAACCGATTTTCATTTGCACCGTGATTTGATCTTTCGCGAGGTGCCGGGTTTTCCTGGTAATGGGATAATTGTACGGCACTGAAAGTTCGTACCGATACGTTCAATAATTGACACAACAATAGGCTCAATTTTGCAGCTGCGACTGGCCCTATCGTAAGTACGCATCTTTCTAGGAAGGATACACAAGACAAAGCGTTAGGTCGCTAGAGGAACATCCGGTTTCTAAAATCTTCCAAGAAGTATTTTTTCATTCCCTGATAGTTCAGCTCATTACCTTAATAACCAAACGTACACCACGTCGATGCTTGACGTTTTACAACACCTTTAACGAGCAATGCAAACGACTTTGGGAACTTCGATGGTACTCCCGATAGCCTTCCGATCGTGGTACTTCTCTGACGAATATCGCACTCTCCGACGAACGCACTGGTGACTTACCACGACAGAATCTTGGCAAAACTACACTCGACGAAGTTCGCGGTACAATAAAGTCTTTGATCCAGAAACCGAGGCACACTAAGTCGTAACGATATTCAACCGATCGAGATAAAGCTGTTTCGCGATCACGGTTACGTACTATCCACGACTTTGCTGGTAAAAGGTGCCATTATATTATACATTCACGATAAAAGACACGACCTCCATGGTGACTGTAAGTTTCAGCGCTCGCGATAAAAACTGACGTTAATAACAACGCGTAACTCACAGCGCCAAGTCTCCTCGGGAAACCGCTTAAAAATCGTCTGTCAATGGCCTGCTTCTTAAATGAACGAACTTCGTATAACGACGACTTCGCTTGTCTTCGCGATTTGCGTTACTCGATACTATTTTCTAGTTAATCATTGACGAACGTCACCTTTCGACTATAAATGGCTGACCATCTGAATCCTCCGCGAGGAATGTCGAGAAGAAAGGTGCGAGTGAAATTTCAGCGATTACGTCTTCGTTGTTCGACTGCAGATGGAATGTTTCTACTAGTTCGCAGGTAGCTACCAAATATCGAATATCGATAATGGTGATAATCGCTGTGGCGTTGTCAGGATCGAGGATAAATTTGGAATATTTCGATGACATTTCGATGACACGGTAAGAAAGTTCACATCCGTGAAGAAACATAGGCTGCCATGAGCGTGATTATGAACATCATCGGGGTGCAACACTTGCAGTCGAGGTCTGCAAGTATCCTTTTCTTTATTGACCACTTGTTATCCCTTTACGATCGCTGTTTCTTTGAATCACAGTTGAGCGTTATATGATCGTCAGGACCTTCGAACTCCATTTTTCCAAGGAGAATTCTGTTTGACCTAAAAATCGCGCCTCGAGCTGCCGATGAATCTCGATGAGTATCGTATGGGTACGCGAGTCCTTACGTGAAATAGTAAGCGATACTCGCTGAAAACTCGTACATTTCGATCCATTGATCCATTACTCTTCGCTATAACCTACGCGTGATTCAGTTTTTCGTTTCTTTCAAGCCGCAAATAATTATAGATGCTACCAAAACCGTTGCTTTATCATAAGCGGGAATACTCGATCGGTACGCCGTACCTATGGACTTCAACGAATTTAAGTCTCAAGTGGAGACTATCTAGATTGGTCGATAAACGTTTGCAGCTCCTCGAGATCTTTGTCGCTATTCCGTTACGAATTATTCCTGTATAGAGAACTTGAGGATTCATTATTCGTAAATGATATCTAATTTGCGGGGACATGCAATTTTTGAGCGTAGTTCACGTGCTTAAGTACGTGTTGGGACGGTTGCATCTTGTGTGAAGGTCTATTCCAAGCTTCCCGTTACATAAATGAATTAGCGCTATTTTTCAATCATCGAACATCGTGCTTACGCCTATCGGGTGGTGAGGATAATGTCTTCCGGTGTTTGGAAAAACAATCTCGAATTTGTTCCTTTCGTTCCTCTGGGTATCTTGCAAAACGATCGCGCGCAGAACGTAAAAAGTGGAGGAAGAAAGGCAACGAGTAACAGGCTGATAGTTACAATTCACGGCCGAAGGAATTCGTTAATTGCTAATCGCGTAGCGAACGTCGCGAATGCTATGTCAATTGGAAAAGTATCCTCGATTTAGCCTCAAGTCAATTAGTTGCGCATTATTGTCACTATCGCTATACGCGTACTCACGCTGTACTCTTCCATTAATCTAATCTAAGAGACTTGTTACTTTTTATCGACGTCTTTATAATATATCATTTCGATTTCCTTTTTCAGCTCTTCAATTAATAAAGGATTATCAGTCCACTGTCGCCTTTTCTAAATTCTATTGTATTATCTAACGATATTTATTTCTAGCTATGAGGAACAAGAACGGTCGATGCAACGATAAGCGTAACGATAACCAATCTCTAAGAAAAAGTGTACGTTCGATGATAAATCTGTTACACGAACAGCTATTGCATCGGATCGGCTTTTTATCGAGCTTGTCGTGTCGTCGCCTAATTGTTGTTTTCCGGCAGTCGCTTACGTGCAAGGTTTCCTCGCTGTCTTCAGCGTTCGACAAAACTCAGGGTGGATTCGCCAATCTCGTGATAATCTTGCGACAGTTTTACGACGGTGTCTATAGTGGTGCAAGTGCTATTTATTTCTGGAATGCTGTACCACGCTACAATGAACGTGTTCTCAAGACATCAAGAATTGCTCACCCTTCTAATCGCATTGTAAACACGCCAGCGATAAATCCTGTTCATCGTTGTATCGTTGATCATTGTCCCTTTTTTTCGAATCATAGTTTACTTTTTTCCCCGTTCCTCTTTCTTTGGTACCACGCGCGACATATCTTTCTTCCCACCAACGATTATTCAGCTATTCGTTCTTTCATCACTGGCTATGAATCCGCGTGGCAGTGCACTTTTTTCCCCTCGTTTGATGTATCTCGACGATAATCGACGAGGACTTTCCGATACATAAATCTCGAAACGATGTCTTATCTATCTTAATGACAAGACGAAAATGTACCTTTATCGCCGTGATTTAATCGATTCGATTCATTAATCATGCCATTATTCTTTCGTAAATATCTAGTTGCTCGACTAATAGATTCATTTATATTTCTCGCGACTGCGATCATAGAGATGTCATTTTCATTTAATTATTTATCGGGAGACACCTGTTCCTTTCGTGACATCGGTTAATTCTTCTTCAATTCCTAGCGACCAAAAATCGCGAATATCGACACAGGATCACGGGCGACCCGTGGACACTGAATATAGATCCTCGCATTCGCTGTTAATCGTGCAAAATTTTACAAACGTTGATCGGATCGAAGCCTCGCTAATTATCCTTGGGGTACCGTTTAAAACGGAGTGCTACAAATTTGCGTAAAGGTTGGCAAAATTGTAAGAATCGAAGGAAAAATTGCACGAGACGAGAGGAATGATCGTATCGAGTATTCGAGGCTGGAACGTAGAAATCTTGTTTCCAAGTGTCCGTGCAGAATCGCTGAAAGTACGGAGAGCCGATCTTTTCTTTGGACAAACACCTCGTTCCTTACGAGGCCTTGCCATTGATCGACCACGATGTGAATGAACGAAAGTCCGACTGTATTAACCAGGAAATAAGTCCAAGGACTCGTCCGACTCAGGAAGCCGCTATCTCCATGACGAATGGCTTTTATGTAAATCGAAGTTCCAGCCCTCCGAAGCCTTCCGTTTTCGATTACAATTGACCTTACATTGGTAACAAGCATCTCTTTTTTCTTCTCTTCTCCGTCTCTTTCTCACTCTCTTTCTTCCTTCCTCGCCTAGCAACATGCTCTCACGAATTAATTTTCTCGCGAACAGCGAAAACCGCATCGTAACTCGATCGAGAGACTCAGCACCACCGACCTGTACACGAATATAATATACGTAACTAACGATGATATTAATGGTAAGTGATTCATAACAAGTGAGTATACATATATAATTACGCTTCCATTATAACAATTCGACTGAAAACATTGAAAACATTGCATGTTTTCCGCAGTCGTTCTTGGACAAGCCCGTTGCAACTGGTTTGGTATCTTTCTGGTGTTATGTGATTCACCTAGTGACTTTAGTACTATGGAAAAATCGGAAATTACAACCCACCGTCCGAGTATTTCGATAAATTATTTAACCAGTTTTTCAGTTACTGGAAACACGACGTCCACATATATACACCACGTAATCGCGATGTCACCTAATCGTGTGAGGATAATTAGTTTAACGAGACTGCGGCGATATTTCTGTTACGCTTTTGAAAAACAAAAAAAGGCAGACTGTATTTTCGAGTAGCTCGCGATAAGTCGCGAATTTATCAAGGAGAACTCGCTTGCCAAGTAAATTAACCGAACGAAAATTGTTGCGACTTTACGATTCGAGGAATACGAACATTTCCTGTTGCATTTCGCAAACTTTAAACGAGAAATCGGAGAAAGTAATTGTCTTCGATTAGATTACGTTGATCGAATGATCGATAACGTTGTTATTACGCTAGACCAATCAGGATGACGCGTGTGATTACATTAATTCTTCTCGTATTATCCCATTGCATAATGGCATCGTATCCGACAAACCTATTATGAGATCTCTTTCTTACTGGACGTTGCTTTTTTCCTTTCTTTTTACCAGTTACAGCTCGTGGGTCGGTTGCTCGTTAATTTGTCTTTCAATTCGTTACCTTTTCCCGCAGTTTCCCCCAGAAATGGAAAAAGTTACCGCGTATAAGGCAATTCGTTCACGTTTGACATCGAGATTAAGAGCGATAACGTTGCACAGAAACTGAGAAATACGGGAAAGAGAGACCCGAGGGAACGATCGAGAAGCCGTGGATAAATTGCTCGACGCCTTTCGCGTGCAAAAAGGTTTATCACGTAATACCGATGTAATACGAAACAATTCAAACAATAGATCGTATTGCGATCGTAGGAACCTCTGTCAGGTTGAGAAAATTAAACCGCATTGTCATTAATTTCGAATTGCAATTTCATGAGCGACGATGCAGCATCGACGTTCCAAGTTACGTTCCCGTCGACGAGGATTCACGTACGGATCTACGTAGAAGAATTTCATCGATATGAACGCGAACGTTTTACGTATCTCTGACTGTGTAATCGCCAAATTACAATTTCACGGTTAAAGTGTTGCTACGCTAAGTGTCATAGTTGGTTTCACCTCTGATATACACAATGCCAGCGATAATAGTGCTAGATCGTAAAGTTGGTGAAACGATAAACCGTACTTCGGATGTCGACATAGATCGCGAATTAACGAAAACACGAAGAGATAGTGATCTAAAAAGCCCGAGCAAAGTCGAAGTACTTTGCACGAAATATCGCGATTCATACTTTAAAAAAAAGGTACACACAATTTCCCTTTCTCTTTCCTCGGAATGGTAATTAACATTTACGATTTTCCTACTTACAAATGGAATACAGTTAGACATAAATCATCGTTCCGTCGATTATATGGAACACGGGAACCTGTATATGCGTTTCCAAGTGCCATGATATCCATAGGTGCCAATCCTTGGTACTTTAATTTACGACCTTACTGTATCGTGCTTACTGCTGCCATACGAGTTCGCGAAATTACGTTCACAGAGGCAGAACCTTGAGACAAGACGCGTATGCTGTAATACCTTTTGATTTCTGCGCACAAAACAATCGGATAATCAGTCTGCTGTGGATCCATCTGGCCTCTGAGGGGCCAAGGGGAGGCAGAAGTCGCGACTGGAGCCGTTCGGTACGTCACGTTAATTCGCGATTTAATTCTCCTCGACAATTCGTAATGACGGCATTAAGCAAGCATATTGAAATTGGAGAACAGAACAAGGATCGCGTCGCGTTCTGTTTCTCCTCTTTCTTCCTCTTCTTTTCATATCTATTACTTTTTCTATCTTTTTGACAATGCTGTTTCTTTTCTCCCTCGCCGGTTCGTCGATGTGTGATAATTCCGCTGTACGTTTTTTCGTGTGACGAAACAAAATGTTACGCGATCCTGTTAACACAACGATTAATTCGATAGACATCGACTCTGCACCGAGATTGAAAATGTATTGAATTGAAAAAAGGAAAAGAAAAAAATAAAGAAAAAAAAATAAGAATTTCCGGAAAACTGACAACATATCAGGTTTCGTTTGGCATTATTATGTAATCACGATACATCAACGATATGAGCGCTGTAACTATGGCAACGTTACAACGATACCACACGTAATCGAATATAATAGTTTTGTAGATCTTCCTCTTTTTTTTGTTTTTAAATGAATAATAATTTCCGCATATTTTAAACACGAGACGGTTATGTATTTGCTAAAAGAAACAGCGCATGATTCCTTATTATAAGTCGCCAGAGAGAAAAATATACGAATTGTCAATGGAAGTGATGCTTTTCTCCGTAGCCTAAATTAATCAAAGCTATTCGAATTGATCGGTGTCAAAAACAGCTAATTTTTATACAGGTTGCTGTCAACGCACAGGATAGATCGTTAACGTAAATAATGTAAAAATATGTCGATGAACCAATTCGAAACAAATCGAAAAAATCAATGAATAAAAATTATCTCTGAAAGAGAATACATGGTTAATAGCAACTAATGACAGATTGTGTTTTAATTTTAATAAACTTCTTCTTGTCGTCTTTAAATGCACAAGCAGAATGGTTTATGAATATGGATAAAAGTATATCGTGCTAACGATGAAACATACATTATCACCGACGATCTCGCGAGCATTTATGAATTTTTCACAAACGTCGAATTTTTCATTAATTGAGCCATTTTGTGGCGAACGAATTCAGATGATAATGAAAAATATTTGTCACCCCGATCGCATAATTATCGCGTTATTATTAAATGAACCTGTGATGTTTGTTACAAAATTGCAACCGGTTAATACTAATTGAATAATCCGATATGATCGACTTGTTAATTTGCACCGAATGTAGGTATTTTTCCGTCAGGATGCACAATTTATCATCACAGTCTCGAACGATTACTTTCGCGATCGCGGGAAGACAAAGTCAGTATTCTGCAGAATAGGATTTACTGAGAACATTAGGTCTGGTCCGAGCATTCAAATTACCGGGTAAGACGCTTTCTAAATCTATAGAGTGGAATGGAACTTTCTCCTAAAGTCGTTCGACCGTTTAACAAATCATATGGTCATTTGGTACAACGATATCCACGGTATAGTATAATCATAGATTAAAATCATAAATTTTAAGCGTTTGCCAATTTCATCGTCTAGACACTCGACGTGTAAGTTTTAATTTAATTAACAATTATAAAGCACCAAGATCAATGAAAATATCGAATTTAGTTACATTTTCAGTAGCTTTCGAGCTGTCGATTTTATTTTGATTGTAAAAATGATACTGTCATTAATTTTGCGAAACTATTAACAACGAAGTGTACAAAATCGCGTGTAGACGTGCAAAATCCTCCGCGACGCGTCTTCCTTTGATCGCATCGTAGAGGAGAACGCCGAAGCATTATGCAAGATATCGCGATCCAACCTTGGCAATGACCACTAACTACGAGTTGCGTTAGTACCGACGTATATCGATCTGTGTCATTAACTTACTACTAGAATAATGATGTAGTTGATTAATCGTGATAATAAATTCATCATCGGTAGATACTGTTGATGCTTCGTTCGGGAAAAATGCCCCTAAAAGACAATCATCCAAATACGATCTTGATAACATAAAAATTCACCAACGAGACTCAAGTTTGTTTACTTTGCATAATTCGTTAATTAAGAAGCATTTATACATACGTACGATTAAGAGGAATGATATTGATTCCGATTTCACTCGTAACAAGTTTGATATATCGATGATCACTACAACGATAATGATATTTAAAGATGGAAAACTTTATTTTAGAAATCAGTCACTTCGTAATGTTATATAATTGTTTAGTCCAGAAAAATGTACCGATACTTGTACTTACAAAAATTTGTCTTTAACCTCAATACGCAACAAAATAGTTAAATAATGATATCTAAACGAAACATAAAACTGTAAAATAAAACTGTAGAATTTCACATTTTAGACTTTCCTATCTTCCAGTAAAAAGTTGAAACTGAAAAAATATTTATAATTTTTTATAAGAAAATTTGATTAATATTATAACAATGACAAATATTATTATTATACAAATTATACAAATAGAATATAAATGTTACTCTTTTAACAATGTATGATTTACACGATTTTCCTTTAAATTTCATTAAACATCAATTTATTGTTTAATAAATAAGTGAAATTTAAAATTTGCTGTATAAGGGATGAAAATTTTAATTTAGAATTTCTCTATCAGATAGCAGGTAACGACAGGCATTAGTAGCGACATCTATCTTTTCTTATTCGTGCATTTCTGTTAAGTGTGATTCTCACTGGAAAGTGTAAAGACATGCATGCATGGATAAATGTAATATCTCTTTTAATTTGTATCAATATTTGAAATTCTTAATATTATATTATTGTATAATACTCGACAACTTCGAAAAAAACAATCCGTGTTATATTTAGTCTTAACTTTAATCACTACTAGTGCTGCCATCTATTTCTATACCGAATCGATAATGTTGAAAATGATAAGAAAATGGTAATCTAATACTGTCCTTTGAAATTGTAATTGGATTAAATTAATTATAAATTAATTAATTTTGATACATTTTATTCAATACTATAAGTAAATTTGTTTCACATCTAGTTTACATTTACAAATTATTCCTAACATATTAAATCGAATTATCAGCTTCTTCTCTTCTACGAAACACATATCGTAATGCATTCTGTCTGAAAGACCAATATCGATGATCTCCTTTCGTCGCTACTAAATATGCCATTTGATCTTCTAACTCACGTAGTCGTCTTTTATTCTCAGCTACTTGCATTTTATGAAGATATTTTTCATATTCCATTTGTATGTTTGGAAAAAAATACCTCGCAAAAAATCTTGTAACAGGATACTAAAAAAAACATAGATATTATGTGCGTGAATTTATACGTGGCGTGTGCGCGCGTATATGCGATGTGTAAATATGTATTTAATAATTCTCCACAAATATATTTTCCAAATACTATCTTACTCTGTAATATTCCCAGGGTTTTGGAATGTATCCTTCAGGTGTTTTTTCTATTGTTGCAGGGCCTACAAACACATTGCTACAGAAGATAATTATAAAAACAGGTATGGCACTGAGAAAGAAGTAAAAATACATCCAATTTTTAATAATTCTCCAATCGGAATTAGATGCAGCTATATCCATAGTACGATGTTCAGACATACATCTTATTGCCCCTAAAAATTAAAACATTAAATTGTTAGTACATATCAGGTTAAATTTCAAAAATACAGAATATATACATATTTTCCTAAAGCATTAAAATAAATTACTCATTTCTCCAGTAATTCCAATAATTAAATAAATACAATCGTGTTTACTTATTGCGAAAGTCATAATAAACACACTGGTGAACAAATATTTCGACGAAATATTTGTTGCGTAACAAAACACTATCACTTCTCTATTATATGTTCCATTTACGGAAATAAAACACACTTATTTTTCCTACCTTGATTCTGAATCACATAGGAATTGTTTTTGACCAATAATTTCCACACTGATCCATTTATACCATATAATTTTTTACCAGTGCCAAATAGTAGTCTACTCAAGACAGCCATTTTGATTTGTAAGTAATGACTGAGAGAACATGCTACTCGCTAAAAGGTACTATGACGCTTTCCTAACTTACCGACAGTACTCTTCACTTCTTGAACCGCGAAACTTCAAATTGCGTAACAAACCACAATAGAAAATCTATTTTTTAACAATGTTGGAAGTGTTTAAATATTATAATAATTATGCAAAACTCTTTAATATCATAGTAACTTCAATACGCAAAATTACATCTAATATTTTGTATTTTAATTGTTTATCAATTCTATTGCAGTCGATTAAATTCAAAATTCGCTACGATTAATCTTGTACAGAAATTTGACAAAATAGTTTGCGATCCTTCTTACATATCGAAAAATCTATTTTTAAATGGGGTTTAAATGACACAAAAAATTCGCGTGAGCTTTCGAGACGCTATGTAATATGATATAAATGTACGTTTAGCGTCAATGAAGTTAGGTTAAGTGAGTAATTGAACTCGAGTAATGATTCTAAATTACAAACACTCGTGAAACCTCGTGATCGTATTTGAGAAAAAGGAAAAGGAAACGAAAAGTGAAGAATTTTTTAATTATTATGAAACAGAAAAAACAAAATTTCATCGTGAGCAAGATAGGATTACGAACTTGCAATTTTTATTTTCCTAACTACTAGCAATATTCATAGATATTTTTGGATAATATTCTTTGCACGTGCAACAAGCATGCTCATGTAGGATACTCGTTGTCAGTACCATTATGTGTTTTGAACAATTTCGGCTACGTGCAGCAGAATTTGTAATTTGCGCATATACATTGCAATGAATGGTGTAGTTCAAAATTAATACTGGGATTGAATTGCTGGAAAGTTTCATATTCGACTCGCCGATTAACGCACGATACACAGCTGAGATAATTTTAACCGGTGATATCGAATCGATTAATAATTACGAAGAAACGACGAATATTGCAATGACGATTAAGTGCTTAAAATGTCTACGCATTGATTCAAAGATAACGGGTGTATATCCCGGCGAATTGACTATTCCCACGTAAATTATACGACATGGAACTTGGATCGACACAGTCGATAAATTTACGCTAAATCTCTTAACAAGCCTATTATCTGCATCGCCTAGCAAAACATCGTTTAATAACTATTCAATCATAGATCTCGCAATTTACAGCCGACACTTTTGCGACTCATTCTACTCGCCATTTTATCTTTCCTACAACGCCATATTATCTCCTAGAAAAAATACATATCGATATTTTTCCTCGCTGATTAAATCTGTAAAAATACGTTACTCAATGATCATGCTGAAGTAGGGAAAAAATCGAGAAAGTCGCGACGATTAGATTCGCAACGAATTTAATGGAACTTTATCATCAAGTGCCATTTACTATTTTGGATGTTCACGTTTATCGTATATACGTCTACCGATTCCACCAAGACGGCGACCCTGAAGAAATGGGTTAAAGACCACGAGCCTTTCCCCGTATGTCTCTCGTGTTCTTTCGAGACATTCGGCCGCTTCGCGTACGCCCCTTCTATCCAGCTTCGCAAAGATAGACCTATGCAGAATTTATGTATACGGTACACCATACAACCAGCAACCTCTCTCGTCGACCACGTGATACACACGCCTTCCTACTCGTCGCAGTTTTCGTAATACACGCTGCCGTACACGTGAACTCGAATACGCTCTTGCGTTCGATATCTTGCGAGTCGCTTCGTGAAATTACAAACGCTGGGAAACGATACAAAAGGTAGTATCGAAGGATCAGTTTGGTTAGTTCCGCGAACAAAGGCGCGACGTCTGGATCGAGATCGATCGCACCTGGAAATTGGAAATATCGAAAACGCAAGTCGATTCCGCGGCAGGGAATCTAGGATCGTTATTCAAGATTGAGACGTTCGATGAAAGGTTTCCCAGTACACAGCGACTCGCATCACGAGCCTGTGAATTTGCCATCTAAACGTTTCAAGTGAGAATAGGTCATCGTTCAGGAGTACTTTATATCGTGTGATTGTTTGTTGGTTAGCAACCCTTAAATTGCTCGTTTAGTCGGCAGCGATATACCGACGCAGAAAACAAGCTGAGAAGAGACGATCGACCGACCCGCGAAGCAAGCGTTCCCAGCCTTTAGTCGCGTACCGGCCACCGCGCATTGCACGTCGCGAGGCGTTCGTATCCGGACGAACGAGGCTCCTGTTCCATTCCACTGACAGAGGACAAGGGAGAAAGAGAGAGAGAGGGAGAAAGCAACGCAGCAAAAGACAGAAACAAAGACAAAGGAAACAAAGGAAGAGACGAATTTACGTTCGAACTTTCCGCAAATTTTCTTCTAACCTCCGTTCAGCAATTTAATCTAGACCTCAGTGTCCGATTTAAAACGGAAGAAAAAAGGTTGAAGCTCGAAGGTGAGTACCTCTAGTCTACGCAACGTGTGTATATACATATGTATATATATGTGTGTGTATGTGTGTGTGTGTGTGTATGTACATTCGCGACTATATTTACGAAATGCTCGCCGGCGAGTACACGCAACAAACGGCGAAGGTATAGACGAAATTTCCTGCGACTCAATTGAAGAACAGACACGGTATATTATAGATGGAGACGAGCACACAGGCCGATGCCGTTGACTTTTCGTCGATCGATCCGTCGTCTCGTTAATTCTTGAATAGGATTCACCGAAAAGCAGAGTCGTCGGGTCTTTCGCCTCGAGTCAGATGGAGGAAATCGAGCTGAAACTGCGAGTCCCTGGTTGAAAGTCAGACATGGCAAATCGTGTTTTAAACGAAGCGAGGAGCCGCTTTCGAGAACAATCTTTGTCGGAGGTTCAAGGAAGCACCGATTTGTTCTGTACACGTTCCGAACATTTTTCACGCGTGAACACGATCGATCGTCGTTTCAAAAATAGATGCTTCGTGACAGTGACCTACGTATATTTCAACGCTACGTTTGGGGTGATGCAACGCTTCGAGTAATTAGACATCCGAGAGAGGATCGTTCCGGACGCTAGGAAAATGTCGACGGAAACTCGACGAGGGTTCGAGCATTCGAAGATAATGTCTGTCGAGCCGTTCAGAATACGTGGTACGACTGGCTCTTGAATTTCGCCGGGTTCCCCGGTTTTGTTTTCACCGCGAGGGAACTTTTTCTGCACGAAACTCTCCGAGACTATATCGATGTGTTAGCGTGGTTACGAGCCGCGTAAAGGTATCTCGATACCAGCGTAGTTATTTAACCGTGTAAATGACGTAATTTTCGCTAAGCCGCACCTGTAGAATTGATCCATGCCGTTTTGCCTAACGCGAGTCCAATTTTGCCCGACCTATGGTCCAATTGTTGTGTACAATGACTCAGCCGTAGTAGAGGTTTTACATTTGAATGGAAAATATAGGCACGAATTGGCGAGAAGTAAGTAGTATGATAGTGCAGGAAAATTTATCTTAAAATTGTTCGTTGCAAGGTCGTAAAAACGAATAAACCAAGACTAGTCGCGAAGATTACAACAATTGTTCCGGACTATCATGTTTCCTAACAAAGTGTCGATAAATTGCTACGTACGAGTCTCGAACGTGGATTATCTTATACTACTTGCTCCATCGGTGTATCGGTGATTAAGCTAGATAAGGTGTCTCGTAAAATTAATCTTTATTAATGTCATATTTGACTTCGGAGTATCGTGTAATCTTCGATAACTAGCGAAAATGTATTAAACATCGTTTAAGCATTAAATAATTAAACGAATCATTCGACGAAATCGCAACATCTCAAAGATAGCGTCGAACAGGTATTGGCTGGTTTTCGGGGTAAGCCGTATGATGGATAATTATTGGTATCTGCACGTAATTGTAATTCACGTGGCGGTCACTAGCACGTGAATCTCTTATGCAATCGAGAGCAAAGTCAGTACCTCGGTCATGATTCAGTCTCGAGCGATTTCAAGAATCGCGGTGTGCTAGTTAATTCCTTATCTCGATACAATTCCTGACCCCAGGAAACGTGATTTAAACGATCGGAGGAAGAAAAAACCAGCAGTTTCCAAAGATTGCGAACAGCTGGTTTCCTTCTCTGTTATCTCGAATGAGAGAAATTCCGCAGCAGAAGTACGACTTGCGATTTCATCGAGATCTTCCCTTTATCGAGTCTATGATCTATAGAGGGTTGATTATGCGAAGCGGCCAAATTTAGCCGGACAATTGCCCAGTTGATAAACTTTTCCTTCGGCAAACGAAATATTCCTCGTTCACTCGGAGCAGGCTTTGCAAATTATATTCATCGGAGTAACGTCATAGCAACACTGTAGAAATCGTACTAAAGGAAACTACGTGAAGGAAAAGTGTCATGATCAGGAGAAAAACATTCATTTCCCTCGGGGCGGTGCACACGTACGTAGCAGAAAAGAAGGTGAAAAATCTGCCTTGTGTTCGGTATAGAAAGTTAGCGTTCTACTACACGAGGCGGTTTCAGCTACGAAATTACTGTATCATTAAGTACGGTATTCCATGGTCTCCTTCGAGTGTGTTCGTGTCCATGATGTGTACATTGCGCGAGGAATTATGCAAGCTAACGAACTACGTCTGCTTCGCGATCATCGCGATTCCCTTTCGTGCAACGACATTATTACCGTCGAATCGTACAAAATTGAACAGGATGTTTCGCATTTTCTTTTTCAGAGTACATAAGATGGTGACCAAGTACGAAAGTCTCGCTCTGAGTTGACGAGGGTTCTTTTTAGAAGAGGTCAAACCGAGTAAGGCATTAACCGGAGAAGAAAGGGAAGAGCAGTTAAATACACGCGCATTGTAATCTTTGCAACGAGGAGCATAAGCAGCAGCCATGGATCCTTACTCGCTGAGGTTAGTCATGCTTAAGAAAAAGTGTTCGCATGCTCGATACAATTTACGCAGATAAACTGAATGCAAGGGGGAAAAGAAATCGCCTGATTGATACAATAACGGCGAATAATAAACATTTCTTCTTTGTCGCGAACGTCTGAATAAGGAATGATGTCATTGGATCTTCTAATTATCTCGAACTTCGTCTTCGACTAATTTAACGACGTATCCATCGCAGATAGAAGGGGAGAAAACCGTTCCCCTTTCTGGAGCAGAAAGTACCTACAAAATAGATCGATTTTGGACTTACCTTCATCCATCTCAGGTACGATCCGTCAAACCTCTGAACAGGTTCTCGAAAGGTGGTTGCCAGAGATTTTTTTCCTTCCCTTTGTCGCGATCTGCAGCCTCTTGGTTCGTGAACGGGTCCGGGAGAATATCGAAGGGTCCTGCCGGAGTGAACCCAGCTTTTCTCTCCCCTTCTTCTCTTCCACGGCATTCTGGTCCCCCTAGAGGGTAGAAATAATCGTGTTAGAAATTTTCCTCGTAATACATATTTCTTCTGTGCGTACCATCCAACGATGATAAGTTCGACTAACCGCAAAGATTCGAAGCTTTGCTAATAATTTCACGTATTCCTTCTTTATCCACCGTAATTCGATCCTGCATCGTTGCCACGCAAGTTGACATGCTATTGTTCGGCGAATAGAGGTTCTCAAAACCATCGATCTAGTTGGCTTTGTAAAGCAATTGATTTCTATTTCATAACAGCAGACAAAGGTAATCGAGAATTCAGAGGATGACGACATCTTATAGCGAAGCTACGTTATTGTGATTCCCTGTCTGTCCTCGAACGGGAGTATCTAATCGAATCTGTTTTCGTTGTTCACGCACGTACAACGACGAGCTGATGTATGCGAATTTTGGAAAGTGTCCTTCGGGATTCACGATTCTCTCGACGATCGTACTCGTATATCGTTAACGAAGTAGTTGCCACAGGTGAACGAACGCTCAGTTCGAACTAACGAACGAAAGAGTCGGTATTGCAAAAGATTTCGACTGATCTGAAGATCGATTCTATTTTTTTTTAAACGCGAAGGCGGATAAACACACGTGGCACGTTCAGGGGAATCACAGGAAGACTCATTCCTCGGAGAACCAGTTTTGCCAGCGTAAATCGCCGGCACTCTTGTTTCGGAGGCAAAAGAAAGAGAGTTTGTTTAAATTACGATATTTCTTGATTTGCTTCCTTTCTTTCTAACTGTTGCAGCGAATTACCTTTATCCGAACACCACGAACTAGTGTTATCTGATATAAACAGCGTTTAAAGTAGCGTTAGCTTTTTGTCGATACAGAACAATGCAAGTACAAGTGAACGAGAAGACAAGGAAAAATGAAAATAGATGTAAAAGAAAGAAGAGAAAAGAAAGAGGTCCGAATTTCGAGCAATAAGACGACGAAGATGCTGGAAATGCGTCTAACGGCAACACGAAATTTAATTTTAGGCGTGACCAATTTACAGCTGTATTTACAAATGGACATACGTTCGCGTTCTTAATTTTGGAAATTAACCTTCGACCCGATATAGTCGGATCGAGGACGGTTCCTTCTAATATAGTTAATTTCTCGATAGCATGTGTTACATAAACGGAACGCAACATAATGGAATACTTGTAAACATAGACGGAAGAACGAGCGAGTTAATATTTAAATACCAAACAGACGGATGTCGCCTGATGGAATTGCGACGATATGCTAATGAAAAAGGCGTTATATCGACTGGTCGAAGTTTCGTTTTAATTAAAATTGTGTCGTCGCCGTATCGTTAAAAGTTCGTTTAGGGAGAGCCGTGCAAACTCGGTTGCATTATTCTGCCACGATATAAGAAATACATGTATACCGGTAGGTGTTCTACTTCCACGTCCATTTACAACCCGCCGGTGAATAGATCAATTACTGTTACCGTGATATGTACTGAACTGAAATGAAATAAGGTACGAGGATTGATCGACGCGACTTCGTGATCGGAAAGCGATCGATCATGAACGTAAGCTTGATCGGTTGCGATCATCGACATTTTTGTACTGCTGTTTCCAAATGCTGTTATTTTCTATCTTATCTTCAGAATTTCGCCAACGTGACTAAGCGTGCGTCATGGTAACGAAGAATCTATCAAATCCATATATATATATATACACACGCACCAGCGCTAGCAACATTGGTGACAGACAAGTCTCGATAACTTTCGCTGTCATACTCCTTTCTTTATTCTTTCCTCTCTAAGAGATCGCTTCTGAAACATTTTAACGTGAAATGGATGCGAAAGAAGTTGCTATCTTGTGCCTAAAAGGAAACGCGTTGAAATAATATAAAATGACATCATGCGATAACTTTTGCTGCGATAAAAAGTCATGTTGGAAGAACTTCTAGTAGCAGATAGGTCGAATTGTTTTTTCTGCCTTCGATGGCTAGTCTGATAGATAAATAATTTAGCTGAATCGTAAACGAAATTCTCGATACTTGTGAAATTCCTCTTTGCACGACTGAGCTGATCCAGCTGGGGTACAGTCCCCCTGAACTCAAAATTCGCCAGGTGTTCGTTACACGTAACGACTCACGGTCGTATTTGCCGCTTCGCTTTGCGTCTCGCCAAGCTAACACTAAAGATGTCAGCGTTAAAAAATAGATATATACGTAACTAACACTTCTATTCTTAGGAAAGCCGTTTAATGTCTTTTAGAACAAGTTTTTTCCTCGAGTGTCAACGCATATAAGCGGGTTAAGCATTCCAAGCAATCACGCGACAGTCAACCGCATCAGTGAAAATTGAAACAGATTATGATAATAAGTCAGCATTTGATATTTACGAAAGGATCATTTCTTGGCTAATATTAAATACTCGTGAATACCTCAATTAGTCTCCTGTTTGCTCATGCACGACTCTCTCAGCATATACGCGCAGTACGTAGCAGTTTCATTGATAACACATGCGTTGCTTTATCGATTTTCAGTCAACCGTCCTTTGTACGTTTTCATTGCTATGTGCCCACTTGCACAAAAGAAATTATCGGTCACGATTTCGCTGGTGCAATTTTAAACTCATCTCGTCAGCCGCAATTTAATCCTGAAAAATTATTATTAGCGCTTTGGTAGGTAATAGACGAAAGACGGTTAGAGCACAGTTACCTTGACTGATCGTAAGAAACACTCGTATGTGTATATGACTAGCGAATGGTTACGTGGGCTAAGATGCTTTCGAAACCGTCTTCGTCGAGGCAGATCGATAGAGAAGAATCGCTCTGTTGGATGAGAAGAGGATGTAATTAGCTTGTTGGGTGACTGTTGTCTTGCTTCGAATTGATGTAATTCGACGGTTTTTTTTCCTTATCGCTTAATATAGTAGTACAGACGAAGCGGCGACGAGTCTCTTTTTATCGCGATTTTGCCATTTAACAAAGAAATTATATAATTCTTATCTTCGCGATCTCACACGCTTAGCAACGGACGTTAGATGCAACAGCTGACCAAACGACGAAGGAATTAAATTGAAACGAATCACCGATAGAGGATGATACGTATGAATTATAAGAGTGTATCGCGAATTATTAACGATTCCACGTGGCGTCTGAATACATCAGCAGCAAAATCCACGAATTAACGCACGTTAATTCCCTGGTCACTTAATTAATACAAATTAAGGCCTGACAGCTTAGTCGAGAAGCGTGTTTCCAACCATTGTTACATATGTACGCATTGTTTTCACGCGAAAATAATCTGGATGTCGTTATCCTCGTCTGGAAACAAAATATTCGTATCATTGCTGAATCTTCTTCATCGAAAAGCCGCTTACACTTATCGTACAATCTGTTGTTAAGCTTATCTATCTTATTTAAATGATGCTTGAACCCGTTTTCCATCGTGTTCTCGGTCATCGATCGATTTACGCTGCATCAACTTGTCGCAATAAATCGCCAGCTGCTATAAATCTATTCGCAATTACCAGCGTGGACATAAACATCGTGCGTGTACGAGAAACCGATTCGAGTGACGAAAGACACCGTTACGAAAGGCAATTGGTTAGAAATTATATAGTTTTGATATTGCTGATATTCGACAGAATAATAACTACACGAGAATTAATCTGGGTTGGTAGCCAGATAGCGTTTAATAAGAAATAACAACACTTTGTCATAATTGTGAATCATCGATCTACCCTCCATTACACGGTAGCCTTGAGGTTGACAGGACAGTAGAGAAACGAACGAGTACGTTTGGTTATATAAATATTTATAAAACACGTTGAAAAAAATATCTATGAACCGAAACCCGTTTACTATTCTTTATCGGCTATTTCACCATTCTATGTTTTCAATCGGGCGATAACGTTGAACGTACAACGAAGAAAAGGAGAATGAAACGAGCAGGCTTATGCATGAACTATGTTTCAGTGTTGAACGCGAGGCGTCGAAGAACATCGAGGAAAATGAGAGGGAATGCTTCAAAGACGCGATCGTGTCGAGCAGAAGTCTGAACAAAGGCTTCGTCGAACCTACTACCATAAAAAATGCCATACCCGAGGTATAACATCATCGGAGGAATATCTTTGAAAGAAAAAAACAGATTAAATGTCTAATTATATCTATCCCTAGATCGCTTCCTGTATCATTGCCGCGTCTTTCCACATATCGGTAGGACTGGCTATGGCGTATTCGGCTATTCTGATTCCTCATCTCGAGGCTGAAGACGCGGAATTACACGCCACGCAGGAACAGACTTCCTGGATCGGTAAGTAACCTTCTCGAATACGATTCGATATATAGCAATAGAGTAGTAAAATAGACGATTAAAGTTTACGAAGTAGTTGAATCGTTATGCAAAGTATAACGAGGTTACACCTACGAAAGCATACGCCGACGAACGTGAGAATAATTGCTGTGGTTTACGAGCGTCAAACGTTTTTACTAGCATCTTTGCGACAACTTGCAAAAATTTAAATGCTACAATTTAATAAGAGCGAATCGATCGATTATGTTAATTGAATGGTCGATGTTTCTACGGTATTTTATGACACCTTTTAGTTTCTAATGCTTAGTTTTGTATAATTACAAGAAAAAGTATGATCGGTTGTACTAATTGCCAAAAACAATTTCAGCTAGCGTGGTAGTAGTGTGCACACCTTTGGGCGCCGTACTAGGTGGATTTCTAATGGAGACTGTTGGAAGATTGCGAACCCTTCAATTCGGTTCTATCCCCTTCATAGCCAGTTGGATTCTTATAGCAGTTTCGACCAATATCCCGATGGTTTTAGCTGGTAGATTATTAGCCGGGTTAGCCACGGCCTTGGCAACCTCGCCAGCTATCGTCTACATTACCGAAGTCGCACGACCAGAACTTAGAGGATCGATGATATCTTTCGGTCCAACTTTGGCCTCGTTCGGCATGGTGCTTTCGTACTTAAAGGGTGCTTACATTCACTGGAGGGTGGTGGCCTGGGTCAGCATCATTTATGCCCTCGTGCCAATCATTTTGGTACAGTTTTTCGTCCCAGAATCGCCTGTGTGGCTCGTTTCCAAGGGACGATTGGAGGATGCAAAGAAATCCCTAGAATGGTAAGAACAAGAAGTAGACGAAACCCATTGTTGAAACCAATATTCAAACCAATAACACTAACTTTTGATTGCCAAATGAAAGAAGTTATACGTAATAATTCTTTCGTTCATTGATATCGGATTAAGTAACGGAAACATGGTTTCTTTTATAATGTATGCGATGCGAAAAGTAGAAACCAGATTTCACTGAAGGTATAAAAGAAAAGCATTCTAAATGTTTTACTATTTCGATTGCAGGTTGTACAAGTATGAAGTGAAGCAAGGGAAAGTGTGCGCCGCAGAGGCCCAGTACACTACGATCGTAAAAGAGAACGAGATTAAAATGAACGAACAAAGAAAAAGCAAACACGGTGGTGTCTCAGCTAAAATGAGGGCATTCTTGAAGCCTACAGGATGGAAACCGATGATGATACTTTTTTTATTCTTCTCCTTTCAACAGTTTTCTGGCATCTATATCACTCTTTTCTATGCTGTCACGTGGTTTCAAGTAAGCAACCACCCTAAATTATCTATTAGAGTATTCTAGATCATGAACTGAACACACATTTTATCATTATTATAATTGCTGTCATTTAGGAAGTCGGTTCAGGCGTGGATCCGTACATAGCCTCAATTCTAGTCGGTGTAACACGTTTCCTGTGTTCGATGGTGAATACCTGGTTGCTAAGGCGATACAAGAGACGGCTCCTATGTATAATCTCGTCTTTGGGAATGGCGACTTGTATGACGGTTTCCGGTTACTACACTTATCTCATTAGGAACGGAGATCGTTCTGGGTACTGGGTATGTATTCAAAACGAAATAATATATACCTGAACAATGTTGATGAAGCAAAGAATCACTCTTGACACTGTGCTTATCTGTTTGCCAGGTTCCTGTACTATGTCTGTTACTTTACGTTTGCACATCTATGGTCGGTATGTTGACTATTCCGTGGACCATGACAGCAGAATTGTTCCCCACTGAGATCCGAGGAATTGCTCACTCTATCAGCTACTCCATAGCCAATATGTTGATGTTTGCCGCTCTACAAAGTTATAGAAGTTTACAAGATTTTCTGGGTGGTATGTGTTTAGCATTTCGCAGAAACTGTGTATATTTTTCTTACGGATTCTTATACATGTTTATACCATCATAGGATCCCACGCTGTGCAATGGTTCTTCGCTGGTGTTTCCATCACAGCTGTCGTATTCGTATGGTTGTTGCTTCCAGAGACTCACGGCAAAAAGCTCTCCGAGATCGAGGAGTATTTCCACAATCATTTCTTAGCTGTTGGGGTCGAGTCCAAGTCCAAGAGGAAGCGGGTACAGAGAAGGAAGCAGCGAAATAATAAATCGTCCGCCACGGAACCACTGAATCCGAAAACAATGCAAAATGTGTAAAAGCTTTCTTCCATATGGCTGAAATTGCAAGATGCAAAAATAATTTCTAGCCGAGATCTGTAAGTATACCGTTCCCTCTATACATGACACACGGATCATTTTTTAGTTCAACTTGTTACCTTCGTAAATGATAAAACACGAGGATGCGCACTAAGATTTTTATAAATGAAGCACTGATTTACTTTGATATTGTTATGATCGTTAGCATTTCGGAAAACTGGGAAGAAAGGTAAAAATGAATGTATGCATGTGTATGTGTCTGAGAAAGAGAGAGAGGAAGAACGAGCGTGAGAGAATGAGAGAAAGAGAGTGCATTGCGAAGCTGTATAGTTTCATATTTAAATTTTTTGTTTTCATATAAATAATCGTGTGAGAAGAAAAGAACGAAAGGAAAAGAATAAAAAAAGAAAAGAAAAATAATGGAAAAGAATATCAAGTGTTCATATTTTCGAAACTGGACGAAACGTGACGAATTTTAGTGATATGTTTCGTCAACAATGTATGAGAGGAGATGAGTAACCTCATTTATTCCTGTTGAAGGAAAATTTTAAAATAAATATTCATAGGATGTTACAAATGAACCAGTGAATCGGCAGATTCCTGCGCTTACTGGTTTACTTTATTTCACGATAAGAAAAATAGCTTTGAGAGGCGAATACTTGCACGTGTGAATTCGTGATACACATGTATATAGACGTGTCACTGTATACAGAGGGAGAAATTATCTATAATACGCATGCGCTTACAACGTGATATTTCGAAGGCAACTAGACGAGAATTTGTACCAAAAATTAGCGAACGATTCTACACGAGACATAAAACAGTATTATACGTTGATTTGATACAGCCTTCCATATTATATTTATATGGATGGCCGTATAGAAAATGTTTCTCCGCTCAGAAATGAAGGCTAAATACGTGCCTAAGATTATTTTTTTTCTTACGTCGTAGATCGTTTCGTGAAACACAGTTTGCCATTTTCAGGCACACATAGCATTCCCTTTTGGAAATAAATTGTTAACAACTTTGCTGTGATTTACCAATATTTACAAACAAACCTCGTGCAATGAGAAAAACAGTATCCTGTTTTGCCTGCAGAGCGTACAATGTGAAATGCGAATATATACATAATAGTATCGAAGCGCAGGCGCTGCGTTACGTAAACCATTAACGCGTCATCTATCGATTCGTTCGACTTACCAACTTGTACTTTTTTAATGGCGCCCATCTACTTAAAAATCAGATAGCTAATATTACGATCGTCACTTTTTATACGATCTTTTTGCCACGTTTAATATTCATGCTAATATGCAGACCATTTTTTACGATGTCTTTATACTGAATCGTGTTCCCTTTCTGTTTATTAATGGTCTATACAGATCATTAATCGAACATACAAACATGCCTTTTACGAGTTCTTTAACCGTTGTCAATTTACAGACATTCTATTGTTGACTAATTAAACATACTTTTATTAGATGTGATAGTCGTAATCGGTGGACCAGATTCAACGTCCTGCGTATCTTAATATTTTTTTATGGATACTTCATAAAAGTCATACGGAATTGATTGGAAAGTTCCGATTGATTTTTATCGACATTTAGCTTGTCCAAAAATTGTTAAAGAAAAAAGATTACAAGTAAAAATTCAATCAAGTGTTATTATTACCAGAAGAAAAAATGAGCTTATGATTAATCTCTTATTACATGAACGCGAATATTGTGCACTAATTTCATTTAGAAATATTGTTGGAAACATGTGTATCGAGATTTTTGGTTCGGCAAGTGCCTTTCTTTTTTGTCGACTGTTTGATCACTTGTTGGGTAATATAAGTATGTATGAATATGCGAGCAGAGTAAAGTTTATACGAATGTACTTTGTATCGTACTATATAACATGCTTGTATCCTTCGATTACACATGTATGTATATATACATATATACCTACATCTATGTGCGTATATGGTACCATTGTAAAATTTCATAGAATGTTTCTAATAAAATCATATTTTTGAAAACTGCAGAAGATCGTAACTTATACCCAAACCATCTCTATTCGTAAGAAAAGACGAAGGCAATCATTAAAAGTTTTCGATCGTTACATATTCGAATGAAAGTTGTGATTTACTTACCAATTTAGATGTGAAATGGATGAAATTACAATGGATAGGGATGAATTTGGGATAAAACTGCATCGTTATCTGACTATTCTCAATTCTGATGAATATCCATGAATTTTAAATAAAAATAAAGAAATCAGTGAAAAATAATCACTTAGGTTTTAGAACAAAATATTTTGTATAGTGTACTTCAAACACTCTACACTCGATATTCCTACTTTTGCACTTACATATTTTGTATTATCACTGTAATAATTAGTAATGTCTATACAATTTTGTACACACTCCCTGAGAAACTGTTAACATTAACCACAAATAAAAAGTGACGGATAAAACGTTTGGAAACAATTGCAAATCCTAAACACTGATTGGTCAATGTAAATTGCGCGCGAAACTAAATTGTTTGACATCCTAATAAAATTGTTACAAAAATATTACTTATTGTATTTGTTTCAGTTGTATATCTTGAAAGATGTATTTTCAAGTAACCTTAGAAATAATAAAGTTGATTAATTGGAAGAACTAAAAAGTACATAAACATATATACATATATACAAATATGTATCACGTGATTTATATCACTATTACGTAATATTTATGGCGGTTAAACGAGAAATACAAATCAAATCGTTTGAAAGTATACGACAATTGGCTTTATTCTGACGCGAATTTATCGATTAACAAATGAAAATTAAATATGAGTTTGAATTACATGAGTTTCGTAAATGTACGCATACGTATATAGGATATAAGATCGACATTTAATATTAAAATATAGACTGACAAAATATCGCAACGAAATAGTGAAGTTATTTATTTACTACTTTTTGCTGCAGTATTGCATATTAATTCTGTCAATCTTAATCTTGTTTCATGAATTAATAGTATTCTATAGAATCAATTAACGTGTCTCGACGAAGAATATTAGTGTACTTTGAATTGAAGATCTAGCAAAAAAAAAAAAGAAAAAAAAAAGAAAAAAAAAGGAAAAGAAAGATGAAGCTACATGTTTGATATGGGACTAAAAGTATTTTCAAATTCCGTTTATTGACAGATATATGAAGCAATCGACTATTCTTCATTCGCATATAAAATATATTCTCTACTACTAGTAAGATTAGCGTATTAAATATATCAGTGATTTAGACAGTTTTGTTCTGTATACTTTTACGATTTCTCCGTTGCAGAAAATAAAATAAAATTCGCGATTAAGGAACGACATAGAATAAAAAGTACATCTGTGCGTGCGAAAAGTATGAAACCAAAAACCAATAAGTTAACAGAATTAATAGTCATATCTGCGTTGCAAAAGTTTATCCTATTTTCATTTGGTCGCACTCAACTAAATATCGTACAAAGCGAAAAATCGACATAGGTTGGCGTGCAATAATAATAATAATAATCATAATAATAATAATAATAATAATAATAATAATAATGATAATAATAATAATTATAACAAT